AATTCTTATTCACAGGTTGGATGGAGTTAGGAAATTTATATTCAAGCCGTTTCTGAGTTTGACAACAACTTGATTTAGTGTAACCGTGCAGTTGTTTTCACAAACTTGAAAATCAGTTTTAGGCCAGTCTCTAGGGGGAACAGTTACCAACTAACTAAGCTACTCTTCATTTTTGTTTTACGAAATATCAGTTATGCGTTATGAATTTACACAGCCAGCTCCCCGTTTGAACGGTCTCTGAACTGAAGACAAAACATTTCTCCAAATCACCGTCTTTCAAGAAATCGAAATGTGCGTGATAGTGCTTCATAGAACTCGTCGTTTCTCAAACAATACACCCATGGGTTGATTGCCGATGAAGTAAACGCTGTTGTTTCAACAAATGTCCACACGGTGTAGTAGTTTGCGTTATGAGACCCTTTGGTATTGAAGTAATGTACAAAACCAGTTATGAGACTTGGCAACCAGGAAACCACAAATAGCCCCACTATGATACTAACTGTTTTAGCAGCCTTGTAGTTCTTTTTAGTTCTTCTAATAATGGCTTGATTCTGCTCACAGCTGCTCGTCGGGTTTATGCTATTGTACTGCCCTAAGGCGGCTTTTAAAATTCGAATAGAACAGAACATGATTATAGACATTGGAAATAATATTGTCATAACTGTAAATGATATGTACAATGTTGATAAAGCTGTTATATCCTGAACCATGAACCTTGAGCAGGGTAAGACAAGGGACATAAACCATACATTAGCTATCAGTAAATAACATCTTCTGTTGGTGAGAAAATCGTGGTAGCGCAGAGGATGAATGATGGCTACATACCTGTCCAGGCTAACACAGCATAAGTTAAATGTTGTTGCCACAGTAGTGTGGATCCACAGATAATCTATACCCCTACCGAAGGTTTCAATGTAGGCTTTATTAGAATTATAACCCAAACATCGTATGACTATCCAGACTGGGTCTATAACAAGTCCTACTAAAAAGTCTGCAGCGGCCAACGAGGTCAGGAATAGGTTAGACATTGTTCTTAGAGATCTTTTTTTGGAAATCAACCACAGGACAATTCCATTTCCAACTATTGTCACTAAACCTGCGACACCCAACCACGTTGCTAAAGCGATCTTTGCCTCTAACGGTAGCGGTTTACCTTGGTTTCCCGAAGTGCGTGTGTCGTTCATTTCTACAGCGTCGACTTCTTTATCGACCTCCTGTTTCTCTTCTGATCAAAAACGTTTTCTGATTACGAATTTTACCAAATCTAGAGTGTTATTTGAAATTCATTCATGAGACATCGGCTGTGAATTCGTCAAGATATAGTTGGCTTTGACGTTCATTGGTCGAATTCAGTTCTCAGCAGATATTGGTCATATCTTTGGAAATTTTTTAAAGTTTTGACGTTGATTGGTCGAATTCTGTTCTCGGCAGATATTGGTCATATCTTTAAAAAATTTTTTAACGTTTTGTCATCATTATTTTTATGCGAAGTGATCGTTATTATTAGTTACATGCTGTTAGGCATAGTTGCGCTCGCCAGGAGGCGTTCATTTCCTCTTCGCCGATATTCTTTATCAACCTTCAGTTCCCCTTCTGATCAAAGACATTTGCTGATTACGAATTGTACTTCACTCTGTGTGACATTTGAAATTAATTTTTGAGACTTTGACTGCCAAGTTGTCGCGACACTATTGGCTCTGATGTTGATTAGTAGAAGTTAATCTTCCGGAGCTATTTTTGCCGTCGTTTATAATGTTTATAAGGTCCATTTGTCGTTATCATTTCTATGCAAAGTGATCAAAACCTTTTTTTTACGCTGTCAGCGTTCTAAATAGACACAACAAAATTAAGCTAGGAAAAAGATCTTTAACGTGCTACAAAGTGGACACTAGGATAGATGATATACATGTCATTCAAGATCACCTAAATCCAAGATGGCGTCTAGTTATCGATCGAGATGCATGTGTTGCGTTTTGGAAACAAACTTAACGAGGAAGTTTGCTGCGGATTTATCTTTGCAAACCTTTTTAATTCACTATATCTCTTGGTAAGGTTATGATGAAACATTCTAGTCGCCAATTTGGTGACTTATCTTCAGGATTTGGTCGCCAAAGTGAAAAATTCACGCCCTGTTATTAATTAATAATTAAGCATTGTTGCACTTGTCAGGTGTTTCGTTACTGCTTATTTCTATCGATTTGTTGTTGATATCTCGAAAGAGAAAACAAATTAAATGGGTTTATATTTTATGGCAACGCTTTAGAGTGACTTGAGCATCGATATCGCGCGTGTCAGATCTAGAGACTGTGTGCAGTCCTTGTTGCTGTAAGTAGCGACGAAGAACCTCTGAGACACCTTTAATGTAGGGCAGAAACACTGTAAATTTGAAATCTTGCGCGAGCTCTTCATTTGTTGTTGATCTTTTTGTCGTTGGGATCTTTCGTACAAATGTGGGCGGATATCTGCTAGAAACAAGAAGTTATGGAGCGCACGATGCACT